TATCGATAAGATTTCATACATATAGTTATAAAATTGTGTCAAAAATCAATTCTTTTTCCAATTTTTCAGAATTAATTTATAATATGAAAAAATCAATGTAGTCAAGATCTTAAAAAAAAGGCTGCATAAATAAATTATCATACATATAGTTATTACATTTTGTCAAAGATCGACTTCTTTTGCACTTTTCAGAATTAGTTGATCAAATGAAAAGCACAAAATAGCAAAGATCTTAAAAAAATCACACTAAAATCATTTATCGATAACATGTCATAAGTATAGTTTTTAGTTTTCATAATTCATTTTTCGTATGAATTTATCATATTAATTTATCATATGAAAATCTTGATTTAAATTTAAGAACGTTAAAGTATAAAAAGGCCGCACTTACATCATATATCGAAAACTATAGTTATCAGATTTAGTCAAAGAACGATTATATTTTTTATCGAAACTGATTTACAATTGTTAAACATAAATTTGGCCCCCATATCATCGAACAGCAAACAAGGTCGTCAAAACTGTACAAATATTAGAAATATTTGTGGTTTATCAGCGACGCAAAATGCTGGATTTTAGGTGGGTCGCCGCCTACAAAACTATTTGTACACTTGCCACACTCAATAATAATTATTATTATCGCAGAAAAAAATAGAAAAACAAAAAAAAATAAATAGAAATCGTTGGGTTGATAAGGCGACACCCTGCCATTTAATCATTAAACAAACAAATTCAATTGCAAAACAGCAAATCACACAAAATACGATATATAATGGGGGCGCAAAAAACAAAAGAAAAATAAATAAAATCAAAGGGTATACGACGACAAATTTCCAAGAATATTATTTGCGACGATAAGCCGCATGCAATAATTTTCATATATATATATTTACTTATATATATATATATATATATATATAAGTATATATATTTCAATATGTATAGATCCATATATGGTATTTACATAAATGTTTTAAAAACTGCAAAACGACAACTGGCCGAGACTTCTGGAAATTTCAGGCCTCCCTCAATCCACAGCGACTTGATTGATAAGCAAAACAACTGTTTATTAAACTGTAGTTGGGGTCTAGAGATTGTTTTTTCTCTGTTTTTTGGTTATTTGTATTTGGTTGCTTACCACTTTTGGCAAAGGCGATAACGGCATGTTAAACAGTGGATATTCATCGCCAAAGATATTGTAGTTGTCCAGCGTCATATTTGTTGGATATATGTCTATATTCTCGATGATATCGGTTAAGTAGTAATTGCCTTTAATAGGCGCAACAGGCGACGTTGTCGTCTGTGCCGATGACAAATGCAAATTTCTGGCGAAATTCGCTTTTGTATTTATTGTTGTTGATGTTCTTCTTGTTTATATATTTGTATCTAGCGCGCACTTCAAAATGTATCTGTATCTGTAGCTGTATTGTCTCTGGTGCAAATTTATTTCTTGTTGTCAGTTTTTTCCGCGAATTAGTCGCGCGCTCGCTCGAACATGCCGTGTGTGTATTATTTACAAAATATGCTCAACAATTTTTACACAATTTTTTCGCGCTTAGCTTAGCAGTTTTTTCTACTTGAAAGTGTTATTTTTTTTTTTTTAAATTCTCTATTTTGCACTTGCCGAAACGTTTCGCACGGCCAACGGGTTTCAACTAAATGCGTCATCGTTGCGCCGACGACTTTTATACGCCAGCTGGCAGCGCCAACTGCTTTTGAGCGCTTGTCGCATTCCACAACGCTCGAGAGAGTGGGAGAGAGAGAGAGACCGCGAAAGAGAGAGAGTGCGCGCCGCATTGAACGTTTTTGAGTGAGTTGAAAGTTTTTTTTATGGAGCCGATTGGCATTTCCTGAGCGCAGCGTCTGAAGCTTTTTTTTCGACACTGCTTGACATGGCTCGCACACATGCATACGCATGTGAGCATGTTGCGTGTGTGTGTGTGCATCTGTTGGGTTTAGCCCCAGTTTGTCATTTGCCTTGCATTTTGGCAGCGCTGCTCACGTGGCCCACACCCCAAATTTTCTTGGCTCCGTTTCGTTAAGCAGCTTCTTGCCGACCAGCCTTTATCTTATCGCCAGACAATTTGGTTATGACATAAGCAACTATATTTAAAGACCAATGTAGGTAAAGTACCCAATAACACACATGCACACTCACGCATACGCACACACATCTAACAACAATGGCCAGGCTTTGTGGCCCGCCATAGTCGGTCTCGGACTTGGCGTTATCATCTGCTGCGCTTCCAAAATGGGTCGCTCGAATGTTTTGCTGCTGTTTGATTCGCTTCGATTAGCTTTGTGTTTTATGTTGCGGTATCTACCCCATTGCTTACAGGTGTGTGGCAGGCAGGTGTTTGTTTACTGTAGCTTTGGACTTTATCAACGATATGTCAGCTTTTACACACAAATATCGATGGGGCATGCGACTGTACGTGTTCTGTTTCTAATTTCATGCACAGTGGAAAACTAGCAAAAATTTCGCAAGTTAATGGTAGACTGCGAAATACCCTGTAGTGCGTACAAGCACTGCTGCTGAAATAATTATAATAATAAAACCAAAGGAGAGTTCACTAACAGTACCGATGGTATATCAGATCGCCTCTATAGTTTTAACTGTATAACAGTGACTATATAATATTCAATTGTATAACATCTTTGAACCCATATAATAACAGTTTTCTTCTCTTTCGCTTGTATGACAATTTTGACCATATGATAACTCTAGATTCGTTACGGCTTACAATAGAATAGTTTGTATAACAGTTTACTGAATAACAGTTTTGCCAGTATAGACGTTTTTAGTGCAACCTCAATTTTATAAACATTTAAGTCATTCGGCGCTTTAAAATATGACCTAAAAACCGAAAATTCCTTAATATTTACGTACACTTTATAAAGTTGTGTGTGTGTGTAGGGTATACAAAATGCCGCACTGACCTTGTTTACATTGAGAGTATCAAAGGCACTTACATGAACCTGACGCAAGGAGGGGGCATATGAGGAAGGGGTATCCGTGAGAGGGGGGGGGGGGCTTAACGATTGCGACTGTAATTGGAACTGGAACTGGGCCATGTGACACAAAGCATTTGCGGTAATTGATTTGCAGTAACCCTTGGATTTACTTACCTGCAAAGATAAATAGAAGAGAAATTTAAGTGAAGGTAGAAGGAAATTGATGAGTGTACAGAAATAATATATCGACCCAAAATAGGACCCTGATAAATGCGAAAACTGCGATTGGTTCGGGTTGCCTTGTAATTTTTTAGACCTGATTATATTTTACACATGTTAAATATAAATATTTTTTTCTTCACTTTATCGCAATCCACCCGCATCTGTAGAGCTGAGGGCCGAACTGCATAACGAAAATAGACATGGATATCGCAATCCTGAATAGTATGCGGTAGCAACTGTACCGCAATTGTAAATGCGGGTCCCGGTCGAGTTACGTGTACTGCCCCCATTTGTGCCATGCGATTATTTATAAAAGCCCGGCCTTAAGAGCCCTGGCCAGTTCCAGGAATCAGTAGCTAAAACCAAGCATCTAACGTCATCGCCACAGTTCTGCTACGAGTGATAAGCGTTGCAATGAAAGGCGAATACGAAAGTCGGAAGTGTATAGTATATATAATCGCATGTTTTTGATAAATCTTTCACATATCATATTCCCGTACAAATTGACGGAGCAGGAAATTAGGGCTCAAGGGCCAGTAATGAATGAATGACATGAATAATGCAAAACTTCTGGCGAATCTGTCGTATCGCACCTGATATAATTGATAAGCTACGCGCTAATTGCTGGAACAGTTTACATCAGGAGTTTATAAATAAATTCGCCATTTAACCATTTGTTTACCTATTCCACCTTCCTGATAGGCCATTCCTGATAAGCGAAACGCTACGGATACGCTGTTCACTTCCGCTGATGATTTATAGAAACTCAAAGAAAAACAAAAGAAAAGGTGCCAAAGGTATTGACACTGTGTCGTAGGCTCTGTGTATAGCCAGAAGATAAGATTACGCGAAATGGCATTACCGGGAAGGCGACGCTATTGAATGAGCGAATTATTCAGTAAAATAACAAATGAAATATCTAAAGTTATTGTGCGATTATAAATCTAGAAACTGTAGAACCTGTTGATAAGGACTGAGGACTTAGCTGTCTACGTGTTGGGCTTGTAAACATTTTCTTTGTTAGAATTGTTAGTCCAAATATTGAACCTAAGGAACTTGAGAGTCCAACGGTTTATAGGATCGAAGATAATGAACAATTACGTTGCAACAATTGCAAGTTTAAGGTATAATTAGGTTAATCATAATCGATTGGGATTGTAAATTAAATGCAGGACTTTATATATATATTTTGCAATATTTGAGCAATGAAATCAATTGAAATCTAAAATAAAATGCAATACAAATATTTGTTAGTAAAATTTACATATTTTTTTTTTTTTACGATTTTTCTTGCTTTACGATTATTTGCTCTAATATTAAGATTTTTGTGTTATGAATTATTGTAACTTTTTATTTTTTAATTTCACTTTTGAGATCCAGTTCCGACTTTATATTAGGATTGTTTATGCTCCTTTAAAGTAAATAAAAAATGTTACTTGTTACAAAATTCTGTGCTCTTTTATTTATATTTTTCTACTTAAAATAATATTTGGTATCTGTGAGTTTCTTAGTGGAGCTTAAATCAATGTTTCAATCTAATATCATGCTTAGTTGTGCCTATTTCTAGTTTTTGATTTTAAGATTGTTTGTGCTCATATCAATATTGGTTGGCTGGGCTTAAGATTGATTGTGCTTAAAAGAATATGCTTAGCTGAGCTTCCGTATAAATTAAATTTTTGTTCAACTTTTCGCTCTGCGTAGGAACTTTGGTTTTGGACGACCCTGGACCCAAACCAATAAACGAATAATGATTGAGGATCTAAGCCCATTCAATTTCAGATCGTTATGTCTGATGGATAGCTGTAAAACTGCTATATGCCAGATTCGAAATTCCAGGTTTCTGTTTGAAATTCGATTCAAAAAACATTTTTTTTGCTAAGAAAATTTCGCCCCCAAAATTATAGAATGTTCTTTACGGTGCGTAACCTTTCCAATCGCACCTCCCAAGTGCTGAACTGTGCATTCGCCCAGTGTCGTCTGCTGAGCTCCATAGCGAGCGCTAAGGGTGTGCCCCGCCTGATCAAGGCCATACAGGGTAGCTCCAAGGAACCGCTAACGGCTTTGCAGTTGCGTTTGATCGGCGATAACCGCTATGGCGAGGATAGCTGGTTTGTCAGCAGCACGCCCAAGGCTGAGACAATGGGCGTGGCCGACGGAGTGGGCGGCTGGCGTAAATTGGGCATAGACGCGGGAGTCTTCGCCCGGGAGCTAATGAGCCATTGCTCCGAGTTCGCCGAACAGGCTGAATACGATGGCCTTAATCCGCGCCAGCTGCTCATCGACAGCTACGACAGGCTGAAAAAAAAGCGTCCATGTAATGTATGCGGCAGCAGCACCGCCTGCTTGGTGACCTTGCACCGTCCCGACTGCACTCTCCACTCGGCCAATCTTGGCGACAGCGGATTTCTGGTTCTGCGCAATGGCCGAGTGCTGCATCGTTCCGACGAGCAGCTGCACGGCTTCAATACGCCATATCAGCTGACAGTGCCGCCGCATCCGGCTATGGATAGTGTGCTCCGGGATTCACCCGAACAGGCGGTGTCCACACATTTGCCGCTACAGCCGGGCGATCTTGTACTGCTGGCCACGGATGGCCTCTTCGATAATGTGCCTGAGAGCATGCTGATCAATCAGCTGCGGCCGCTGCAGGGCGAGACTCGTGCCGAGTATCTGCAGCAGGCCGCCAATCGTTTGGTGGATCTGGCCAAAACCCTATCGGTGAGCCCCACTTTTCAGTCCCCCTTCGCGCTCAAGGCCAGGGCCAACAATGTGGACTATGGTAATGGCGGCAAGCCCGATGACATTACTGTCATTCTAGCCAGTGTCGAGGTCCCCGATAAACTCTAAACGAAGCAGAAGCGCCGCCAACATGATATCAGAACTTTTATACTTGCTAAATTAGACGTTAAAATTTTTTGTTCTTTTAGGCAATTATCTAAATATTAATAAATGACAGAATGTAATTAATATGTCTTTCAAGCTCATTTCGTTGATTGCCAGCTACAACTTTAAATTAAATTCAAACACTTTGCGTTTAAGAACTCAAATGCCAAGTTGCATAGCTGCAGTTCATGTAGTTCCCGAGTTCAATGATCATGTGCCTATAACTTGTTTTCTATATTTATAGGTAATGCACAACATAGAAATGAAATTTTTAGGAAGGTTAATTCCTAGAATCAATGTCTGATTTCAGATTGTCAAGGTGCTTCATTTTAAAAGTTTAAACGTATTTTCTTTCATCCCAGTTAATTAGCAGGCAAAATTTTGTGTAAAATTAATTTACTTTTACTCAATTACCTGCATTGTAAATACTGATAAGCAATAATTAATAATAATAAATAATATATAATAAAAATTAATTAATAAATAATAAAACAAATAAATGAATATTAAATAATAGATTAAAAAAATAATAAATATTAAAAATAAATAATAAATGCTAATAATGATAATGATAATAATAACTATTATTAATATTAATATAAATATATTATTATTTTATATTAATAATAAATATAAACAATAAAAATTAAATAATAAATATATAATAGTAATAAAAATAAATAAAAAATAATAATAATTTTAAATATTGGTCAATTCTAAATCCAAAACAATGGTTATGAGAGTCCACATACCAAATTTTATAGATCTAGCTGCAGTAGATCCTGAGTTCAATGGATCAATATAGAAAAAAAGAATTTGCTAAATAATTGCTAGCGGTTATTTTAAAACAATTTGTTATAGTTATGAAAGCCCACATACCAAATTTTATAGATCTAGTTACAATAGATACTAAGTTTAATGAGTCTCTATAGTTAATGTCTTTACTCTGGAAATCTCTAGAGAACTAGAGCATCTTCTGTCTTATAAGAGCAACCATTTTCCGAAATGACATGCATTTTTGAACTTTATTTATAGAGCATGAGATGAGTGTTGAGGTATGACTGTTGTTGCAAATGCAAATATTTGAGGGCCTATCAACAACAATAATAATAGTAAAAAAAAAGTCAACTTTAAGTAGCTGCGATAACAGCGCAGAATTTCATTCATACGGCTACAAGAAAAACAAAACAAAAAAGGCAAAGCATTAAATGAATGAAACGAATGTGGCTACAACTACGACACGCCACGCCACTACGCTGATGACTCATACGCAATTTAGCCAGAATTCATGCGCTTATTTAGCCCCCTCTCGCCCGCTGACCAGTAGGGGCTGCGCGGGGTAGCTGGCGTAGGAGCAGGCAGCAGCCGCAGCCGCAGGCGCTGCGCTAAAACTTGACTTCGAAACAAGTTTCGCACTTGGCCAAAAAGCGCTCAAAGTTCGAGTGAGATTGACGAGTGCGAGCGAGCTTGAGTTAAAGAGCGCGTCAAATTGAGCTCTGAGAGCGAGCGCGCTGCAAGCGCAAGAGAGTGGCAACCGTTGGAAATCCCCAGCATATTTTACGCAAAAGCAAAAAGAAAAAGAGAAGAGGAAGAAACAACAACAACAACAAGAACAACATGTGCTTAAAGCAAGGAGCAGCCACATCGACGAACGGTCCACGTCATGCACTAGTGCGGCCAGCGATGGTGCCAACTCTTTACTAAAAAATACCCTTCAAATTGGTGAATGATATAAGAGCATATTGAATTAGCCCAAAAGCATGTAACAGGCAGAAGAAGAGACTGTTAAAGAGAGCGAATCAAATTTAACATCTACATATGTATATCAATTTATTATTTATATGAAAATATATAAATTTATTTTCAATTATCGATAACTCTCTACTTTTCACCAAGCACGTTAAAAACACAATTTCTCAGCTACCATGTTGAAGCACGTCACGCAGAGCTGAAAACATTACATTTCTGCTTATTATAACAACTAAGCGATAACTCGCTATTTTTTACCAAGAACGAGAAAAATCGATTGTCATCTACAGTTTTAAGCATGTCTCGCTTTTTATATCAAATTATCGATAATTCACTACTTTTCACCAAGAACAATGAATATCGATTGTCAGTTACAATTTTTAGCGTGTTTTGCAAAGCTAGATATCAAATTATCGATAGCTCGGTACTTTTTACACAAAAACGATAATTATCGATTGTCAGCTTCAATTTTAAGGCAGGACCCGTAGTTTTCCAAATCAATTTTTGAATTTTGTATTTTTGTATATATTTTTATTTAGTATATATTATTTTTAGCAAGAAGCGTTCTTTCCGTGCATATATGTACAATATATGTACTCAGCTATGTACAGGGTATCTGTTAGTTGGGCAAGCACAACTGGTGCACTTTTAGCTGTTGCGTTTTTATTTTGCCTTTAACTTATCTTTGTGCCTTGGCATTTTTCGCACTTATCGAAGTGGTTGCTGGCAGCGCGGAATGCTGCGCCTCTTTCTTGGAATTCGGCGCCATGACGCGTCACAAAATAATCCCCACACGAGCCACAGCACTAACAACAACAACAACCACACTTTGAGCTGGCGTTGCCAGTGAGGCGTGTAAATCTTTCACTGCTGTTGCACTTTTATCCAGCAGAGCTGCCAGATGTGCCGCTGCCCCCAATTTCTTGAACCGTTTGGCCGCACTTGCAATTTCCGCTGCCAAATGCGCATCGAAATGGCCAAAAATGTGTACAACTCAATTACAGTTAGTCAGCAGCCTGCCCCACACTCCACCCCGCGGTCGTACTCCCACCACCTTACACCTTGCTCCGCACCAAATTTGACAGGCTCAACCTTTGACAGAGTTCAACAAACCAAGCCAAGTTCCCCCAATTGTTTCAAATTGTTTCATGGAATTCCATAAGCCAGCCACAAGAAAGAAAAAAAACGAAAATAAATAAATAAAATAAAATAGAGCAACGGCCGCCAAGTTGTGTTATTGTCGAAGAAAATCGAAAGTGAAAACACGCAATATTTGACATTTGCCTTCAAATTTTCCTTGGCTTTCCCTGCACTAGTTCAAAATATAACATGACATAATTTGCTCTTCGGCGCCTCAAACAAAATACATATTTATTCATTTTCATAGCAACAAAATAAAGTAAAACAAGTGGATGACAGACTGCTGAATACCCTGTAATTAAGTATAACATACGGTATAAGGCATATACGTCTATCGACACACCGCAAGCTGCTGCCTTCATCAGCCCCAATTTGAGTATTTCGCACTTTTTAATAACTTCTTAGTTTATCGTGCGATCATTATTCATTTCCAAGTGCATGTAGATGACATTGAAACATGATCATATACCAAAAATCAGCGGAGCACCCCTAGCTAACCCATTTCAAGTGAAATAATCAAGCCTTAATATTTTTTCAAGTTAAGCTTGAACAAATTTTATCAGCAAATCGATATCTATCGATATCGAAGATGTCGAAAAGTTATCAAAATATTCAGCGCATAATATATAGCTAAATCGAATCTAGTTTGATAGTATCCCAAATCTGACAGATGAATATAGACTCAGCCCATGATCAACAATATATATATCGTATATATTTTTTTTTTTCTGTTTAAACAGTACTTTGTAAATTTTAAATATGCATAATTTTCACCACATGTGTACAGGGTTTAAGAAATCAATTTCCATGGACAAAGCTGAGGATATTAACGCTGCGTATACGCAACATAAATTAGTAGACTATATCGCTGTTTCTCTCCCTCTCCCGCTCGCTCTCTCTCTCACTCGCTCGCTCTCGCTGTTTCTATGACCAGCTCTCGGTCTGTGGTCACTTTGTGACGTCACCCAACTATTTTTACTACCAAATTTGGTGCCCCGTGCGATCGTCGCGACTTTTGCATGGGCTTTCAGTAAAAAAAACTTATAAAAAAATTAAAAGAAAAAAATAAACCGGCTTATCAACGGGCGCGTCGCGACTTTTTTGTATTTTCACAGCGCCCCAAAGACCAAGTCTGATTTAAGCATTAGATAGTCCCCCCTCCCCATTGACGTCACAAGCATATAACATGCAAGCGACATGTATAAAGATATAGTTATAGTTGATACGTGTTGCGGTACGTTTATTATGCCAAATGGCGATTGGGGGCTTTCCCTCTTTGATTATGTGTTTATTAACTCATTCAACTTTTTATGATTTTTCGTTGCCAGAAAATTAAATAATAGAAAAATTAAATTTTGGGGGGGCACTAAGGTCACGCAGCTGGCGTGATTTTAAAATATAATAAGGGAAATATATATTCGCAACTAAGAATTTACTAATGGAAGATAACCCGCAGGTGACGAGCACCTTTTTAACATGAGGGCGACTAGTTAAGTATATCGAGTGGGTTCCATGGAAGCGATCGGTAAAAAAATAAAGGTTTATACACATGCACATATAGTATATATATGCATATATATATAAATATATATATTGTGTACCGGCTTCTTTCACTCACGATCTACGATGAACTTTATGTCTTCCTATTATATTAACATTTTAAGATTCTGTTAACAGCTGTATATCGATAAGTAATCGATGTAGCGTGCTTATATAATATATTTGTGTTTCTTTAATACTTTCGTAAGTTAAATAATGTTTGCAAAATTCCGTTTCATTTTCGCATAGTTTCAAACAAAGCTTAGAAAATTGATGCTTAGAATTAAAAGCCATAAAAAATTGGACCTGGCAATGCCGGGTAATAACCGATATGCAAATATAGCAAATATAGAAAGCTTACTATCATTTGAGCATTAGAAAGATGCATTTCTGATTTGTTTTATAATATGTTTCTTGCCCAAAAAAAACCACTCGACCGACCAGTTAATTTAAGACCGAATCATTCCATTTTATAGACAAATATCTCAAAAGTGAACAAGTGAGAACTGTGCGGGGTTTGTCGTACAGTTGTGCCCCAAATACCAGATACACTGCTAGGGATAATGAAATGAAATTTCTTGGAATCAAGCGCAAGCAAACTCTGATAAAGTCTACCCGCGGACTTCAAGAAGTCGTAAAGTTAGCACACCCAAGTT